TGACAGGACAGACACAGTAGAGCACACAGTAGTGACTGACACTGCCGAGCCTGGCTTTGGAGGTCCGCTTCGAAGCAATGAGTTCGCCCACCGAGTTACGGCCTAGTTGAGGGCTGTTTGGCGACCGTGATGGTGACTCAGATGACGGAGATAATGGAGGGGAGGTTGCGGTGGCTTTCATGGCTGAGATGAAGGAGGGAAGAGTGATGACTCGAGAGAGAAACTTGGGCCTGAATTTGGGCTAGTGGAATCTGATGCGTCGAGCGAGCTGGGGATGATGATGGCACTAGGCCAGCCCGTGGCGTGTGGTGGGCTTATTGGGGGGGGGATGCGACAATCTCTTCGACGACGGACTTGGCGATAATGGAGATGTCGCGGTTGGCAATGAAATGCTAGAGAGCTTGGAGTGCTTCTAATTTAGTTGCTGCTGCTAGCTTCATAGCCGTCTTCAGTGAGCTCCAGGGCCAAGTCATTCCCAAACCAATAGAGCAATGGATGAGGCATATCAGTAATCAAGTTGTGGGCTCAGGAACCAAGTTGTGGGCTTGGGCAAGCTTCTTCAGGAGTGGTGGATCTCCATACATTGTTCACCGAGGCCGCGATCAGTAGAGGAGCTTCGCAGTGCTGGAGCTTGGTGTTGGTGGGTGTCGAAGCATTTACTTGGTCCTTCACTTCCATGGTGGTGGAGAGGTTGCTGGGTATGGGTGCGAGGAAGGAGGATGTCATTAGGCTTTATCCTCAACGATCCAGCCCACCATCACTATTTTTTTATAATACATTATAACATATGTATTTTTTTTTTTTGTAATACATTATAACATATGTATTTATTTATATATATATATATATTTTTTTTTTTTTGACAAAATAAATTTGTAATAAAATTGACCTTCTTTAATAAAACATTTAGTTTTTATTTTGATATGACTGAACTCGAAATTAAATGTTCAAGCCGCCTACTTACCCTTCCAAAGAAGAGATCAAGTCATAACGTAGTTCAAATACATTTTTTTTTTGTGTCGTACGCAGTTTATGCTCTTGCGGGCCAAGAGCTTTTGGTGCCATTTGCAGTTTCAACTCGTGCAGGCAATGAGCGTTTGTTGTCGCCTTTTATGCTCGTGCGAACCAAGAGCGTTGGTGCCGTGTTGCAATTTTAGCTCGTGCAGGCAAAGAGCGTTGTTGGTTCGTCAAGCGATCCGGGAGAGTCGTTCCTCACAATCTTCATAGCAAGGAGCCTTGACTGAGTAGTTAAAGAAGTCTTCTGGGAAGATGTCACACATTGTGATGGGGATGGATGATCTTCGTGTCAAAGTTTCATTATCTCTAACACTTTCACATTGTTCTGGAGGTTGACAGGAGCTACTTTGCCCCCTTTCCCATTGGTGAACTTGTGGAATAGATGGTTGTTGCCTGGAAAGGCGTTCCTCGCAATCTTTATAGCAAGGAGCCTTGACCGAGTAGCTGAATAATTTTCTGAGGAAGGAGAGATCGCGCATGGTCGATCTTTGTGTCAAAATTCCTCATCTTCAACACTTTCACATTGCTTTGGAGGTTGGCGAAAGTTGCTTTGCCCTCTTTTCGATGGGTGCACTTGTGGAGAAGACATATGCTTCTTGTGCAGTTTCTTCGGAGTGACATGAGTCTATCCTTCAACTTCACTCAGCTTGACTGGCATGGTTTTGGAGCATGCCCTCAGCAATTGAGGTGAAGATTTTGAGTTAACAAAGTTGGAAGTGACGTCTTCTTCTGGGATTTCATCTTCTTTGTCTTCTTGGGCCTCTTCTTCAGTGCGGTCCTCTTGGGTTTGTTGGTGTGAAGATTGGCCGATGTAGGTGATGGTGCGCCTCCTTACCTTCAGTGGTCCTTTTATGTCGACCTCCAAAGCTGCTTGGCGCTTCATCCTTGAAGGAATCAAGTTTTTAACATCGTCTTTTCCTGCTAGACTGTCGATCTTTTCTTTCTTTGGCGTTGTCTTCCTATTTCTAGAAGGCTTCTTAGTTTCTTCAAGTATGTCCGCAGCCGACCGTTACGGAGGAGATCTAGCTGTGCCGCTATGTTTCTTGGGTTTCGATAACCTTTCAAAGACAGATCTTTTCAATGTTGGCGTCTTAAGCCTTTTGAAGACAGAAGTTCGGTCTCGACCACTGATGTGATCAAGTGCCGAAATTCTAGGTTTTGAATGATTCAGCCTGTCGAAGACTGAAGTCGAGGGATGGGTTTAGGCTCCTCTTTTGGCTTTGTGGCTTGTGGTCTTGGCTTCCTCGTTTTTTTGTAGGTCGCCGATGTCCACCCTTCCTTATCACCAGTAGATGCATCTTGGTTCATTATCACCGATGTCTCCCTCCGTTCCCGCGTTGTTGCAAGTTTCGACGAAATGTGCAACGTGCTACTTTGGGTTTCCTTTTCCATCAAACTGCATGAACTTTGGTGGTTGATAACCCCTTGGCATCTTTAGGGCATCAATCTTCTTGGAGTAGGGCTTCGAGTAGAACAATGAGGTATGTGAGCTCCTTTCGTATTGCGCCTTGATGGTGTTGATGATCATCTCTTGCAGCTGCTGGATAGAAAAAGATCCTATCAGTGCCGCTGCTTGGTCTGGCTCCGGCTTCACATCGATTTTCTCCACCTGAGGCTCCTCTTCTTCGTCAGCTCCTCTCTTTAGTGGATCATCCTCTGGGTTGGGGTTCTCGCCGTCCTGTGGCTCAAGTCGGCTGACGAGTGCAGCGATTTGTAAGTCTTTTTCTTCCACAATCCGTGTTAGCCTTGCGATCGCTTCATTCATTTGAGCCAGTTGTTCTTTAATAGAGGTAACGCCAATGGTCATGACTTGTGCAACCAATAGACGTGACTTTCCTTTAGACATCCAGGATGCTGACAAAGAACGTCGTTGGCTGTTTTGGGATATCATCTTGTGTGCCTCAGCAGCATGCTTCGATGCCCCCAGCGAGGTTAGGTTGATGACAGACTCGCACCTTTGATGCTCCCCTTGCTCCTTTAGCAGCACCAACTTTGAAGTGGCATGTTGAGGAGCGATTGTGGCGCCAATGGATTGTCCGTTCGCGGCAGAAGTGCTCAGGATCCTTCCCTTGGTGGTTGCGAGAACGGCTTGTCCCTTGCTTGATGCCATTGACTTTGAGGTGTGTTTGGATTCCTTGAACGAAGAAAGAGATGAGAGGTAGAGATTGTCCCACTGGGCGTGCCAAATTTGTAAACACGAAAAATTCCTGAAACGAAAGAGACAAGAACAACGTGCACAAAATAATATTTTGTATTTGATGATTTTGGGTTACAATCTCTCTCAAATTTGATCCTCTGATTCGACCTCCCTAAGGTGTTGATTTGTGGATGTGCGATTGATCCAAAAGGCCGTTGGGGCTTGATCTTAGAATGAAAGAATGATGAACGATGAACGATGAACGATGAACGCTTTCTTCAAGGCTTTTGGGGCTTGATCTTGAAGAACTGTTGATGAACGGATCTTCAAAGGCCTTTGGGGCTTGATCTTGATGAACAGTTGATGAATGGATCTTCAAGGGCTTTTGGGCTTGATTTTGAATAACAGTGATGAACGGATCTTCAAGGGCTTTTGGGCTTGATCTTGAAGGACGATTGGATGTGTGGATTTGTCGACGTTGTTGATCCAAAGGGTCGTTGGGGCTTGATCTTAGGATGAACAGATGATGAACGATGAACACTTTCTTCAAGGGCCGTCGGGGCTTGATCTTGAATTGGTGGAAGTTCTTCAAGGGGCCATCAGGGCTTGAGCTTGAAGGCGGATTTGGCGAAGAACGAAGAGAGTTTTCTCGATCCTTCGGAATTTGCTTGAGATCTTTAGAGTTTCAAAGATTCAAGGTTTTGGTGTAATATCAATTGGTGAAATAAAATGAATGAAATTGGCTTCTATTTATAGAATTTTCCAATGCCTAATTTTGAATATAATATTCCAGATGAAATAAGTCGTTTCTGCCAGGTGTTGACACGTGTCCTGTTTGATGACTTTTCCGACTCATTTCAATTTTTCGTCGAGTCACACGCTACGTGTAAAATTTATGTAATACATGAGCGTTGAAACTTTGATTTATCGGTCAACATTTATTTACCAAAATTTCGATGTCTACAGTTTGTTTTTTACGATTTTTTAGTATGCAATCTCGAAGTGTGTACAAATAAGTTTGACGGTTTGATCGTTGAAAAACGTTTCGTAGAATGCATATTGCGTCAAAACGGTAGATTAAACAAACACTTAGAGTTAATATTATACTTCCATTAAGTATAAAATAAGATTTTGTGGTATCCACTAGTGTAAATATTTTAAATTGAAGATCGAATTAATTCATTGCATTCTTATAAGGTCGAGGAGTGTAGCTGTAAAAAAATCATCAAAACCGGAGCTAAAATAACCGTTAAATTGTGATTTTTCGTTTATAACCGTTGAAAACTTTTATTCCATTACCTAATCTATGAATGTTTTTTTTTTTTTTTTTTTTTGCGATTTTTTACGTATGCGATCTTGTAGTATCTACAAATAAGTTTGACGGTTAGATCATGGAAACTAGTTTCGTAGAATGCATATCTCCGTTAAATTTGCCTAAATTTTGAAGTGGGAAAAGTAATTTGTGCTAAATTTTTATTTATGTTTTTCAAGTATTGATTAGACAATATTTAGTTTGTGTGATGACATTTTCATTGTACAATTATCTTTTTGTTTCTTTATCGCATATTTTACATGGGTTATTATCTATTAAACCAAGCAATTATTTATTTAATTTTTAAAAATGTATTCTATTTAAATACATATTATTTATTTATTTATTTATTAAACCAAACAATTATTATTTTATTTTTTAAAATCGTAACAAAATTTTGGGGAGAGGGAATTTTGGGGTATTTTTGCCGCCATTTTTCTTGTCGGTTATAACCGACAGTAATGAAAATTTTCCAAAATAAAACCCCTCCATCTCTTCCTTGCGTCAGTGCCTTCTCCCTTCCCCCTTCCTTCCCCCTTTTCTCCTCTCCTCATTTCCTTCTCCTTCTCGAGAAGCAACATTGGGCATTTGGATGAGCATGGCATCTACACTGGCCAGTGCTCCACCTTCGCTCTCTACGGCTACGTCCGCGCTCAGGTTTGCCTTCTTTCCCTTGTTTCTGTACTTTGTTATTGTGGTAATATTTGTGTTTTTGTTGGGCACTTGTGAATGTATTGGGTGATAAGAACGTAGTACCGTTGCGGAATTTGATCATGTTTGTATTTTTCGGTTCGGTTAATCTCATTTGATTCTATCGTTTGCTTTCTAAGACTGCATTCTAAGCTGTATTATTATTACAAAGTAGATGACTTGAGAGGCTGCATTCGAAACCCACGAGGAAAATAACATACAAATCACACGATGACTGTTACTGCGGTCATAGATCCTGAACTATGCTGAAACAATCACTTTTTATTCAGCTATCATTTTCTTTATTACATCTGGTTACAATTGCTACTGAAGTATTGGAAGTTGTTCAATTACTGATAGATTTAAATAAAAACATGTTGACGCCCGCAGTCAAACTCGAAAAGCCCAGTGTAGCATAGAGTTATATCCAAACTTTTCTAATCCTAAGTATGAATTTTCCCAATGATTCTGACGTTGAGTTTCTGAGGTTTTGTTTTATTAGGTTTTCAGTTGTTCTTCAGCGGTAATTAGCATCCTCTTATAATTTCTTATCGATCATGTGCAATTTTGGCATTCCATCTGTTCTACTCTGATATCTTGTGCTTTCTTTTGTTTTTTAGGGAGAGGCCGACAGTGGTTTGGACCGTCTCTGGCAGAAGAAGAAAACCGAAGTTAAACAGCAGAAAGAGATGATTCTTCTTCAGTTCATGGGGATGAGTTGTTTAATTTCTGAAATAAATTATGTGATTTGGGATCTCCATGCTTTTCTTCGTTCTTCTATTTATGGAAGATGTGGGTTTTCTCTTTTGTTTTTCTGTGATGGATTGCTGTGTTTTGTGTTGGGAAGAAGGTTGGTAAAGTTGGGTTTTGGATCTTTTGAATTCGAGCTTCAAATTCCATCGTGCATGGGGGTTCAAGCATGTTGCCCAATCTGGTTTGCTCATTAGCTGCAGATTCTGATTTCAAGCAGAAGGGGAGAAGAATGCTCAACAAGAAGAAGGGAGAATGTTTTCATGTCCTTTTTATTTTTTTTTATTATTAATATATTTGATGTCGGTTTTATCCGACAAAGAATGCTTTACTTATTCATAATTAATATTTCCTGTCGGTTATAGTCGACACAAGTTCTGTCAGTTATATATATTTTATGTCGGTTTTAAAGTATTTTCTATCGATTTTATCCGATTGAAAACGCTCTTATTTATTCATTATTAATATATTCTCTGTCGATTATATCTAACACAAGTTATGTCGGTTTTAGAGTATTTTCTGTCAAAAAATTCATTTCCTGACGCTGACAATTATGTCGCTTATTATATCCGCCACTGCATCCATTTTCTGTCGGATTTTGCATAATATCCGATGGTAATATATGTTTCTTGTCGGTTTTTGGACCGCCATCAATAGATAATTTTGTAGTAGTGCACGTATAAGTATGAAATCAACTTTAAATAATCAATAATGCCAGACTATGCCAAACTACAATATCTCAATAACAATAATGCTAGAAATACGCCAAACTACAATATCTTAACAATAGTATAATGAAAACAGGTTGCTCATCAATCTACGCTAGCACACAAGTTCATGCAGATAGTTTCTGACATGAACAGGACTGTGGTGTAATGTATAAGTACGTTCTAGTGCTACAATCATATGAAGACTAGCGATAATCACAGTCATCTATGAGTTGGAGTTGCCTAATGCAACCTGTACGATAGGACTGGCACCTACTTGGATCCAAGACGAGCGTGCGATTCAGAGGTGAACATACATGTGAAAGACTAGCCCTGGCCCTGGGAGAGCACTAACACCGGGGTGCAGCAATGATGAGCAGACTACACAAATATAACCATGCCATAACAATTCAATAATTTCTAATCAACAAAGTAAGCTTACATGAGCGTCCTATAGGATTATTTTAGCGTTTCACGGCATTATAACATTTCTTATAACATATTAAATCATGGCATAATCATGGCATAACAAGTGTAACATCAATCTAAAAACAATAATGGCACGATATGCATAAATCAATTCAAAGGCATTTGTGGAAACTATCAAGTTTATATATATACAAAAACAAAATGCCCACTCACTAGTATGTGGTCGGATCGTAGCCTCCTAGCCTCGCTTGACCTCGTATGTCCTCGGGATAATTTTCACCTATATGTGAAATAATTAAACTAATAAATTAAATAGGACATATTCAAAAAGGCTAGTGTAAATCTCCCATACTTTGCTCAAATGGAAGGTTTGAATATACGAAAATGATCTACACGAAGTCACGGATCCATACATGTCAAGCACTCGTGGGCCGTAGGCCGGACGCACCCTCACGCACCACCTAGCCCATGGCCACACGCGCGCCCATGCACAGACCATGCACTTGACAGAGACTGATGGACATTAGGAATATTCCGTCATAATTGACAGAATATTCTTCGTCTTCTCCAGTGAGTTTCGTCATTTGCCGCCATCTGGTTCACCGGTTTCTAGAAATTCTCATCGGAAACTAGGAAAAATTTCAAAATTTCAAAGCTACATATCTTCTTCATTTCTCAACCATTTTTAACAAACTTTATACGGATTTGAAGCTCTTGAGGAGTAAAACAATTCTATACCTTTTGGAAGTCCAAAAATGGACAGGAAATGGTCTGAAAATGCTTCGAAAGTCTTGGCCTAAAACTCTACTCCTCGAACTCGCTTGTTAGAGACCCTAAGGAGTTGTGTAGAAGTTTCCCTACGTCCTAAAACCTTGTAACTCGGCCTAAAACTCACCGAGTCGAACCTTCCAAGTTGGTGAGTCAAAACTCGGTCATTTCACCATCGGCTAATACGACTGGGTCTGTGGGTTCGAGAGGAGTACAATGGTGGAGTTTGTGAGCTCGATCTGTGAAGTTTTGACGTCTTTCTAAAGGGTTACAGGGAAAGGGAGAGTTTCGGTGAGAGAGAATGAAAAGAGAGTGAGGGAGCAATTTTTGATTAAGGGAGAAGTGTGAATAGTGGTTTTGATTAGGTGAAGGATTTTAGGGGAAAATGAATGAATGTGAGGGATTTAAAGGAAATAATTCGATTGGTGAGGTGAAAGGAAGACATAGATCCCATTTAAAAAGGGGATAAAAGATAGGGTTTGCACAAGTGAAATCCGATGAAATCTAACGTACCCTATCAAAAATAGTAGTTCCCTACACTGAAATAATTTGCACACTCGTGTACAATTCTACCTGCTGTTAATGTACTTTATTGTGCGTAACTTTTTCGTTACAACTTCGATTCGTGTTTAACTTGTGCTCACGCGTTCGTAATGATGGGTACTATTTAATTAAGCTACTAGGAAAATAAAATAAACGCTAAATACTACCCACGTTACTTTGCCAACAAGGGCAAAAATGTCAATTTACACACTCGGGGAGAAATTACATAGAAAATTAGGGACTGGTCATCACATCACGTGCATCAAACCTTACCACATAAACACCTTCAATACAATCCCTTTTTACCCAACAAGTTTTCATCCAAATCAATGCTACAATTGTATAAATAGGTTTTTCACACTTATTTGCCATAACCATTAACCTTATAGGAAAAAAAGGCATTCCACTTCTCAAATAGCCAAAAAATTCACAACACAAACATGTCTAAGTTCAAACATGAAACTGAGGGTTTTAACGCCGAGCTCCATGGGTGGTACAATGTGGAACCTCGTCCACTTCGGGGTCACCCAAGGCAAATCCTACATCATCGTTTAGCTCTGTCGACGCGGAGATGCGGCTGGAAAATATACATCAGTCTGTAAGAGATGGGCGTCGCCAAGTATTGGAACCAAAAGAACTTGTGTACCTTAACGATAAAGCCAATGAAGCGCTCTATTGTGCAAGCAAGCAAAAAATGAAGGTTGACACGTCTTGAGAAATGGTCCCATTCCTAAATTTGAATTGTCGCAAAAGCGTCGTGGCCTAGGAGGGAAAGACCGAAATGGAGGAGCGCAACAAGGGGTTTGAGGATTTTCGTCAGGTAGTGAAGGGAAAGGAATCACATCAACGACAATGGGATTCCTTGACAGTGAAGGAGGTCGAATCATTTGATAAAATTTGGTATCGGTGATCGTTCGGTGAGGGTTATGCTTAATAGCTATGGTAGAATAAATTCGAAGGCTTAGCCTAGCTTGTGGTTGACTTGTAATGTTTAATTATATGGTAAGCAAGGTAATATAGTTGTCCAATGTATTTGCTAACTATTATATGATAAATAAAAAAACATGAGGACTATGTATCCTTGTTATCTTCAACGCTTACCATGTCCTAAACTACCCTAATACGAAGAGTATGAAATATGTATATAGGCAATATATACGCTGTAAGTACATGATATGTACACTACATGTACATGTTATGCACAAAACTAGAGGTCGGGCAATGAGTTGCTTTTCATATATATATAAGACACTTTAAAGGCATGCTATTGGTATAGTGGATACAATTAAAACAGAATCCACATCGATCACATGTATAAGGTTACATTGATATGTAGTGGATACAATTGACTTGGAATCCACAACGATCATATATATAAGGTTACAGTGACAGTTTGCGAGTCTTGTTCGTATATCAACTACCACTTAACCGAGCACGTGGAAAACATTAAACTTGTTGTCGCTTATTTTATGGACACGCATAACCCTTAACGTCCTCTAACCTTTTTCTTAATTTTGTTTTTAACCGAGGCTAGGCCATAACTAAGTTGTGGTGATACTCGCTAAATTCCGAGGCACAACATACATACATCATAACTAGTGAACATTCTTGCTTCTCATATTAAGTTATATCCTTGCACACCATTTGCACATCACGGAAAAATTTTCTCAAATTTCTACAATTGAACACTTGAAACAAAAATTGGAATATACCCAATATTCTTGCACGTCAAAAATAAAAAAATTTCCACAACCCATAACCCCAAACATGAAACACAAACCTTAATTGAACTTCTAAGTATTAATTCATCTTACAAACAAACCCATATATTCCATAAATCATTGATATAGGAACTTGGAATTAAACACCCTACCTTACTATCCTGCCGAAGCTTCCGTTGTAGGAAAAAATGGAACTTTCCGGCCAAAACAGAAATATGGTACGAACGTCCTATGTTTAAGGATGGAAGAATTTGTTGTGTTTGGTTATGGAAGAATAACACATATAGCTTACAAATCTGAGCTCAAACCCAAAAACCCCAACCTCTCTCTCTCTCTCTCTCTCTCTCTCTCTCTCTCTCTCTCTCTCTCTCTCTCTCTCTCTCTCTCTCTCTCTCTCTCTCTCTCTCTCTCTCGACATCCTTGTGTTCGAAATCAGAGCTATGAGCTCAACCCAAAGGCCAGCTCACTCTTCTCACCTCTCTCTCGACTTCATTCTCTTCAAAATCAAAGCTCACACATCTGAGCTCAACCCAGTAGTCCACAACTCACAACTCTCTCTCTCTTGACATCCCCAACTTCAAAATCGGAAAAAATGACACAATGAGTTGTGAGTTTTTACAATTTATATGTGAGTATTTTCTTCATTTCGCTTTTGTGCATAGTAAGCATGGAGTGTGAATGGCCGATTTGTCCTATTTTGATCCCAAGAGCAAAAAAATGGCTCATTTATGTCAATTTCCCTATTATCTTTTTATTCAGTCAGACAACTTTCCAAATTTGAAAGTTTGAACGTCAATTTGTATTTTGATTGAAAATTTAATGCACAAAAAATGTTATATTTTTATCTCCTAGATTGTTAAAGGGTGAAAGAAATGACTTATTTATTATTTAACTTTTGTTGTATTAATGTTTGCCCCCATATTTTGAATCTTGGTTCCGCCCTTAATGATAGTATCGTCATTAAGTTGGAAGATTGGGTCAAATAGCGGTATCATAATTTGGTTAAAAGTTGGGTGGCAACTATAACTGTTTCTTTTTAATAAAAAAAAATTATAAAGAAACAGTTGCCCATGCCACCAAGCTTCAACTTAATTACAACATTGCCATCACATTCAAACTTCAACTTATTTACAATCCTATCACCACTTCCTTGTTTTTGTCATTATTTTTAGTAAAAGTTCTTGAAGTGTTCATTAAAAATTTGTTTTGTAAAGCACTTTTCTTAGAACTCGCAGAAGAAAATGGTCTCTCCCTCATTGCACCACCTTCCTCCCCATGCCGTCGCGGCCCCAAACTCCCTGTGCATGTAGCCGTCGGGCCACTTCCCGTTTCTCCCTCCTTCTCCCCCGCTATCCCCGGAGAACTTGGTAGAGATGATATGACCTCCGATCTGAGTCCTCCCTCCCCATGGAGAGTAATAGAGGAGACACCCCACAATTACTGATTACCTTCTAAATAGTTTTACACGACCTCCAAACTGAGGCCTTTCTTTCATAATTTTAAATTAACTATACTGTGTGCATGAGCGTACTGTAGCCAATTTAACAAGAAATTTATGATATTCCAGAGGGCTTTTTTTATTAGCACCTCACATATTGTTGAATGCACCACATAAAAAATTTCATATTAAATTATTTATTTATTCTACTGTGCAATGACAATTTCGATTTTAGTAAGTTTAAAAAAAAAAATTCCAAATACACCCCACATCACTTTTAACGTATTATTTATCTTCTTCAATTATCAAAACCCTCCCACCCTCCATTGTTGAACAAAATCCTAACTAATGAAATTACAAACATATTGATTGAGAAAACCCTAACAAAATGTCTATGAATATGTCAATGCTATTGATCACGGTGACTGCAAGAAATTATTTTCTCTCCAACCACACATTTTATCACATCCGGGCATTTACTATGTCGAAAAACTCCATAACTTATGCCTTTAAACCAGCTCTGTGAATTGCAACAATTCCAATAGCTTGAATCTTTCGATAATTCTTTTTTATTTTTTATTTCTTTTGTTATAGAAAAGTTGCATAAGATCTTGAGTTTGGAAGTGACATAAGATTTTCCAATTTGCACAAAGATAAAAAAAATTTAAGATAAGTGTTAGCGTCCAAATCGGTTAATGATAATATGCTCTCAAGCTAGAAACAAAAAACAAGTCAATCACAAAAGTAATTAGCTTGGGAACAAAAGGGTATCTAGATTCAATCCATCAAAATTAAAAATGAGTATTATAAAATTTGAAGAAATTGGGGTGTATATAGAAATATAATGTGAGTTTTGAGAATGTGGGGTGTGAGGGTATTATGGAGAGGTATGTGGGGTGTATAAAGATAATTTTTAATTGAAAAAGTAACTGTGGGATGTATTAAGAATGTGGGGTTTATTCAACAATTTGTGAGGTATTAATATAATAAGCCTTCCAAAGTCTCATATTCCAAATGTTTTAACTATTAGATTTTAATGTTTGTATTTTTAAATGAAAATTCAACGGTTAAAATACTCAGAGGATCTAATCCTCTGGTGCACTGTAGAAAACACCAACAATTTAAACTGGATCCAAAAACGGTAACAATTTGTATGTTTCCATGAGAGAAAAAACGCAGTAGAGCATGGCTTAACTAATTGCAGTAGAATCTCCCTCAACCAGAACCTGGTCTACATTGAATCTACCCCAACCTGAACCTGGTCTACATTCTTTCCTATGCAATTTGGGTCGCCATTTGAGAAGGCAGGGCATGCCTTAAAGCCATAAACTAGGACAAATAACAACACGGTGTTTGGTCCTTAAACATCGACTAGAAGACATCCATAAACGAGGTGCCTTTCTATCCTTATGCCTGACGGAGATGTAGTGTATAAAGTATACATGCTTCGGCATGAACACTAAAAAGAAACGATGAAGCATATTTTAACAGAAAAGATGTCAACAAAGATGTGCACAAACTTGCTCAACAGCATCTATAATACATTCTTAAACAACATCAATTGAGGAGTGCAGATTGAAATACATGGGTGAGACAATAACTATATATGTAATATAAAACTAATAATTAGCCAAACAAACCTCACAAGCTACCGTCCATTACTTTTCGAAAGAGTTCCTTTGGGGCTGCAATTAACAGAAAATTAAATTGATACCGTGTTGTTAATAGAATGTGACTCCTATGCTAATTGATACCGAATTATCAAGTGGTATAAGTTAATCTTACCAGGCAACCCAGTGAACCTCTCAAACTGTTCATATGCCTGTCCAATGAACATCTCCAACCCACTAACAACTGTGGCACCGGCCTCTTTCGCTTCTTTCAAGAGTCTGGTCATTTTGGGGGTGTAGACAGCATCAAAAACCAACGAGTAAGATCCCAGAGCATGCTGCAAAAACAGAAATCTACTAAATCTCTTTCTATAAAGGTGACCTAAATAACATTTGGTGTAACTTTTTCAGTTGTAAAACATCAATAGAATATGGTGCAAGTTAACTTGGTTTCGTAGTAAGAGGTCCCAGGTTTGATGTTCCAAGACCATCATAGATGTATGGGTTTCCAGGTAAACTGTGCCAAAAAGAAAAACAAAAAAACTTCAAGCTGACGAAACCCAAGGACCTAACTAGTCAATTTCCTTACTTCAAATCTATCGAGTCTGCCTCCTTTTACTTCATCAGATGGTAAACTTGAGATACTGTTTTTCCATATTTAATTTTTCGCTCTGGTTGCTTTCAGGTAGATTATCTTGCTTAGCACAAAGACAGTCACTACCCAAAATACAATAGAACAACCATAGCATATACCTTATAGACACATAACATAAAACCTATCCAGACAAAAATACAACCAAAACCAGGCGGCTATTAACAAATAGCATCAACATTAAAGGCAAAACCATGACAAAGCAACCTCAGTTGAAATAGAGTTAAGATAGTCAAGAGCGACATATTTGTCAACCAGAGGTATTTTGGTCGACAGGGCCATTGGCTGGTTAACTGGTCCAACAAAGCCAACCCACCGGTCAAAAACAGCTCTCCAATAAATAAAATATAAAAAAAAACACAGAAGCTCAGTCCTAGAGGTTTTTCCATGTGCCAACCAATTTTTGTGGTTGAACAGTAATTTACCCGAGTTGATCAAACCTTGAGGTTGACCAGTAACTTACCCCAGCAAATCCATCCTTTTAGAAAACTCACATCTGAAACACTGACAAAAATGCCTAACAAAAGCTCTGGATGTGTGAAGGGTGGTTCCCCTCCTCTACAAATGTGGTAATAAAGAGCTCCTTTGTTAGCACTGATGCAGTGAACGTTTGTGGGTCTGCTCACCTCTCATTGGTAAAGTGGATCACAGGTAAGCTTCACATCTCTACTCGGGGCTGCTTCTACTGCTTGTAATTGACTTACAATTTTTCTGTGCAAGGATAGTAGGCACAGACTGATACTATACTCACATAGCTTAACAAAGTTCACGCACTATAGATTTGATCCTTGTCAACGTCAGATATACAATTTTAGGTATGAGTGACTATGTTGAATGAGGATTTATTTGGATGAATTTAAAAGCATGGGTTTCCTAAACTTCAGGTTTGTTATTAAATTGATAAAGAAGGAGATGGTACTTTCAGATTGGCAAATTTGATTACACTTAGCAATGTTGAACTGTGATACTCCAAATTGTGCTAGCATGTGTTGAGTCCCCATCTGTTATGTACTCGCGGATCTGGGCAATATAATCAATTGCAGGTAGCCTCAACAGTGGCTAGTCCCTTTGGGGTATAGCACCATGGTGACTTGTAATTCCTTGGGTTGTGACAAATGGTATAGAGCCAACTCATTACCATGTGGGATGTTGCAACAAAGGTTTGGTTCCTGACAAGGTTGATTTCAGTAACTTGATTGTGGGCCATGCCAAGAATGTCAGAAATTTAAGCAGGGGTGAGTATGTACTAGTGTGTGTTTCCCAGATTCTGCTAGCGTGTGTTGAGTCCCACAACAGCTACATACTAGGCTGACACGGGCTAAATAAGCGACATCATTAATGGACTAGTCATTTTGTGATTTAATGCTAAGATGGTGTGAGCTTTCTTAGGTCAAGACATAAAAATTGACATCCAAATGGAGGGTAAAGTGTTATAAAGAAAATGGGGAGCGAATCAAAGAACACCAAGACTAAAGACAAAAGATAACACTGTTGAGTTACACAGTTTTGTGTAAGAACACACTATTCTTGGCGCGCACAGCCTAGAATTGGAGTTTGGTTTAGAGGAACCTATAGATCTCTGTCATAACTTGCCTTGAACTGATGGTTATTAAAGAATTTAACACTTTCAAGTGCTGTCCATAATTTCTCAACATAATGATCATATCCCTTGTACACATGTTAAATATGATCAAGTATTTTAATACAAGGACAACCCATAATCTATAATTCAGCAAAATGGGAGGGTGGCAAACCTTAGAAATGGGTGTCTCATCAACTTTTGGTTGCATGCCAATAGATGTTGTATTTGCAAGAATCATCCCATCCTCTGGGTGGAAATTATCTAAATCAGCAAGAGACAAAGCATCTCCTCCAATTGTGTCTGCAAGTTCTCTGGCTCGATCTTTAACAAAATAAAAAATCAGTCTTAAGAACAAAAAATCACAGTGATGTTATGTGTATAAGGTTAGGAAAATGACAATGGAGAAGAGAGGATAAGAAACAAAGCAACAAATTCTGTAGTTGACATGATCTACCAATCCGAAGTACGGAAATGTCAAGCAAAACTTTCTCATGCAGCAGACTTCATGTCTAGAACATCAAAAAGCATGATAGAGCATGAATCTATACAACAAATTACGATAAGGTACACTTCAACGGTTGGGTAAAGCTTCAAATCTCATAATATTGATGTAAAATGGATTGATGTTTTTTCTCAGAAGATAGGAAAGGATGCAAATTTAATCTGCTCAATGGTGTCATGTTAAATATGTGCATTTACCTCTAAGAGATTGGTTACATAAACTATATGATACCATTTACTCAAGATTTATCACTGCATGAAACTATAAAGTAAATGAAAATGTTTCAGATGACACCACCTGCTTAAATAAAGAAATTTCTCAACCAAATGAATCAAATCTTTACACCCAGATGAATGCACTCTAGCATTCCCGCCAAATATGACAAAGATGTACACCCTGGCAATCACCTAATTACCAGGGGTGAATCTCATTAGCAACCAGAGGAGGCACATCTCCCCCCCCCCCTCCCCGGCCCTCCCTTCTTCTCCCCTAAAGTTTTTGGCCTGTAAAATGGTGGTCTGTGCAGGAACCAGGGCCCTGCTTAAATCGCAGCTGCCTTCTGTCGCTCGATACGACGTCGAATCGGACTACAGTGAACAATAATCAACTCACCACCACCACCACCAACTGTATCACTCAGTTGTAGAGTTGATTCTAGCAGCTCACGAAAAAGCATTCCCTCCTTCCATGTGTTTAAATTTGACCTCCCAGCCCTATGCATATATAATTTATCTATTTGTTCACTTAACAATATTGACCCTAAAGATACAATTATAAAGGAACAAAGGGTGGAGATGTACACTAAGCACACAATGGGTATAAGTTGGCCAAGTGCTCAACAAAATGCCTCACTTGAAAAAAAAAATTGGCGCTGCATGCGCTCTTTTTGGAATTCCATGAGGACCTGCACCCGCTATTGCTTCATTGTGCCCCCATGAACGTTATTTCTAGCTTCGCCCCTGCTAATCACCAAAGGCGTTAACAATACTACCATTCCAGAAGTAAGCGCTGAGCTTTTCTATCCTAAATTAACCTCCTAGGCAAACATACCGAGCACTGAACCAAAATTGCATGGTAAGTCCAGGTAGGTTATGAGAATATGCCACACAGAAAAATAAAAGAACATTCCGTTTTGCGCTAAGGGTTAAAGATTTAACATTGGAGACATACACAAGAATATCTTAAACAACAAAATCATGTTAGTAAAATTAATCAAACCGATTACTCAAATGTGGGTTGGATACACATAAAATAATCACTTAAGTCAAATAAGAAAATTGAAATGATGGAGAACCATATAATCTTTTAGGGTTAAAAAAAGGAAAAAGAAAGAGTGTTTCTTTTAGCTCTCTCAATTAGAAAGGATCTCTATCTTTGACAGCAAGCTCCTTCAAACCGATTTATCTTCAGATTGGTTTTAGTATCCTTAGTTGTTTTTCCAAAGAATGAAATGTCCCTTCAACCAACTTTACTTATAATCTCAATTTTGATTTTCAAGAAAAAGAAAGATCGCGGTTGACATGCTGTATAAGTGGAGTTTTTACTGTTCTAATCGACCATGGGAAAGAGCAAAAATGAACATGGATAATATAAATTGACACAAAAAAATGAATAACCGTTAAAGAAATGCCATGACAAAATAGATCAAGAAAGCAGATAGCTTATGAGCTAATAAAAGACGGAACAAAAGAAAGTAAAACCAACCATAAGTGCGATTGGCAATTGCAATCCTTGCGCCCTTCTGTTTTGCACCATAAGCAAGTGCCTTTCCAGCACCTCCAGCCCCAATAACAACAAACAGCCTACCAGCTAAAGGTGAAACGGTTAAACTGCCATTATTATGTGAACCTGTAAAGTAAAAGTGGGAAGCCAGAACACATTAAAAAAAAAAATTCTTGCCAGAATAAAGAAAGAAGAAAAAACTTAGCTAGTACAACATAATAGTAACCTTTCAGTCCGTCTTCAATAGCTGAGATTGCCCCTACATAGTCCGTATTGAACCCAAATAACTTCCCATCAGTTGGTCTCCGTATAATGCAATTAATAGCTCCTATGGCCTGAATATTTTAATAAAGATAAAAATCAATTATATGGATAGCATAAGTCAGAGGTACGCTAACTACTCAAATGGAGAATGGAAGCACCACAATATGAATGCTTTCTTCACTACCTTTGCAACTGGATCAACTTCATCACAACACTTAAGTGCAGCTTCCTTGTGCGGAATTGTAACACTGTGTTAGAAGTGAAGTGTATAAGATGGGATCATGATGTATAAATAGCAAGAAAAAATTCAAAATAGATATGCTACAATTTTTATTCGACACTAGGGAAGAGAAATAGAAGATGAACCTGAAACCAGCAAAATCCACTGAAGAGTAAGTATGGAGAAAATTTACAATGTCATCTATCAACAAATGTACATAAACTCCATTGAAACCTACTGACTTGAATGCTTCATTGTACAATATAGGTGATTTGCTGTGGCTGACAGGCTTCCCAATAATGCCAAACACTTTTGTGTCAGTCCCTATCTGCCTGAAATTGTATAGATGTAATATATCCTTCATAGTTGGTTGACCAGGAGCTGAAACTATTCCTGAGTCAAGCGTACCAAAAGTAAGATAACCACCAAATTTTGCGCAAAGGATCCGTGAAATCAACCCCCTCTCACCCATTACAAGTCCTATTGTCGGGACCTGAAATTCCATGAAGGAGTCAATTTTGCTTTTAGCATATAGAGAATTAAAAAAAAATAAATCAAATGACTAAGGAGAAGAAATTTGGCGCAAGCCTGTTGTGAGTGCACAGATGAAAAGAGACAGTGATGTAAACTGAATTCCTTCAATTACCATTGGAAGCTAGGTTTCTAAAGGGAAACCAAGAAAAGCCTTGGGGAGAAACTGATTTTACTGGTAAAATTCATCCAAACTGGTCTGCTCCCTCCAAAACTAGGTCAGACCCTTTTAAAGTACATTACTAAATTCCCCCTGACCTTTCTAGATTGACCCTTTAAGTTCTCCATAACAACTACCCTCTAGAAAATCCCTTAGACTTCTCACACATCATAATTACTTAATACTTGGTAAGCCCGACAAACAATACAAATCCTTTTCCTCTAGAGAACCCCTTACACTTCCCACACATCAGAAATGGACAGTGTTCTTCTATGATCTGCAACCATAATAACAATATTTTTAGGGAAATGAAAAATAAACACCCTTTTCCTCTTCCTACACACACGCTGTTTAAACCTGTCCATTGTTTCCTTTAGATTTATTCAATCTGATGGCCAGAAATAAAGAGGGGTGTGTGAGAGCCTTAAAAGGGTGTTTGAAAATCAGCTCCGTTTACTGCATCAATAGGGTCAGGCAAGCCTTTTTCATCCTATTTTCCTTCCCTTCATCAGAGTAACATGTCACATTTTCTATCACTAACCAAGAGACGATCAGTTAATAAACTAGAGCTGTAAACTGCCAACCAAACGAAATGCTACTATGGGTATCACAGAGAAATAAGGTGGGCTCTAAATATTGTAGGATTTAGGGAAGTCTGAAGTAAGTAGCCTTATACTCACTTTAGGAAAGGCCGTCTCCCATTTCAAAACAGAGTAACTTAGCTTTGTGCCAAGGCACATCTCATGCTTCAGATGTAACTACTAGCATAAATCATACAAACTGCCCACCTCAGTCAACCATCCATACGTATGTACGTATACACCATGTATAAAGTCGATTAGAAACACATCAAGTTCAACTCCTATATATTAACATTCTAAAATGGTGAAATACTAAAAAAATAAAAAATAAAAAATAAAAAAAATAAAATAAAATCTTAAATTCAGCTTACCATGGAAATAAACAATGGGATAAAATTTAAAGGTGCAATGCAAAAGCATATCACCTACACTGCTTACTTGAGAATGTACTGTTATGTGAAACATGCGTGCTACATCAGTGATATCCATAGCACTGGTTGCAATCTTAACTATGTCAGCTCCAGTGGCTTGTATTCTTGCAACAAGATTTCCAAGAGCCTCAACTGATGGAGTTTCTTGATAGTTGTGAGAAGAGACAATAACTTTAAACTTTTCAGGCTTCTTCCCATATATGGAATCAATGAATTCATGAGCAACCTTCAAAGAAAGTTAATAACATAAGAATAAGGGAATCATGATTAACCCTTGGGGTTAGTCCAAGTGGTGTGAGGGAGGATTCGGAAAGGGTTAGGATTAGAATAGGTCAAACGTTCGATATCTTTCAATAACCATAAAAAAAGAACAAAAAAACCTAATTCAGGTTTTACATTCTAGTGTGACAAATTTAACATAGAAAAGGAAAGATAAATGATTTGTCCAATATGTTTGCAATGGTGGCAGTAGTAAGGATACATTGATTAGATTTGCAGCACAAAAGAATGTATTCACATGATTCTTGATTGATACTTCATTTCATTGCACAAGTTTAGAGTTGTTATACACATCTGGCAACCATAAGCAGCTCTTGAACAATTATTCGGCAGTTTGGACTAGGGAGGAATTAAAACGAAAAAGGGAATAGAAGGGCTGTAGTAAGTTTCCTTACTATCTAGCATCTATGAAGGACGAAATAGATGAGATCATGTTACCCATCTTATGATTCCATAATGCCAAACAGAAAACACAGGAGAGAAACCTGAAGCTCAACATCAATGTAATCAGCTCCAAGCTCCATTGCTAATCGAAGTGCATCCAGTCGATATTTTTCATCACCATCATACTGACCACCTTCCCACTTTGGTCTACAAAAGTACATAATATCAGTCTTATCAGATATTATCGCAGCGGGAGTTTCTTAGGGTCATAACAGTCCAAAAACTGTTAATAATGAGCATAGCAACACTTAGATAAACCGAAAGATAATGCAGTGAAATTTAATGAGAATAATTTCTGTATCCATCTGAGTGATAAATCGTCATAT